GTACAGCACGCTATTCGTAAAACCTGTCGTGATTAAGGGAATTTTCTTCCCCCCGGTATTTTTAGGAAGAAATTTAGAATGAAGTTATGGAAGCATCGTGAATATTTTTAGTTTGAATTCCGATCTAAACAATTGTGATTTTGAAAAAACTAAAGTAATATCAACTTTTGACATAGTATCTTTGTAATTGACATCGTGTGTCTAAAATGAGTGGCTAAAAAGAGGACACTGCAAGATGAACTGTAATGCACAAAATAAGTCTGTAAAATATATACCATTTTGCATAGATGATAATTTTAAAAACTAGACCAAATAATATTTACACACCAGCATCTTCTTGCAACAGTGTTGAGTGAAACAAAATATTCTAGTGGGAACTTTATTTCTAACAGTTATTTGCAGGGGAACCCATTTCCACGGAGAACCGCAGAATTACTTGCTAGAAAAAAAGGCTCCCAGTAGAAATATGTGCAATAAAATAGGTTTCCCTAGGTTCCTCTGTAAATAACAGTTTGAAATAAAGTTCCCACTAGAATATTTTCGAGTTTCTAGTAGGAAAGGTATAAAAGGTAAAAAATGTCCTAATTTAGTCCGTTGACGTTGCCTAGTGCCTACAGCGTGGCTTTGTTGTCTGAACTTTTCTTATTCTTAATTTTTAGCTAGGTACATTAGATCGGCAGCGTTGCCAACTGGTATTTTTTCATACCAGATTTCACAATTCTGGTATGTTGAGACTATGTCTTTTATGGATATATTTCATCCGACATATTTGCAAAAAAACTAGTATATTTCTGATATGTTCAGACACTTCAAAGATTTAACCGAAATAGAACAATGTATTTGTTCAATTTTATTTCTTTCCTCGGACACAATATCATGTTTTTAGTTTTTTCCTCGGACACAATATTTATCGGTTTTTATTTTTTCCTCGGACACAATATCATGTTATTTAGTTGTTCAAAAATTTTGTTAAAAAATTCCCGCTTTGTGGAAATGACGCCTCCAAACTATTGCTGAACTGTGCTTTTATTAACGGTTCACGGATGGAAACTTTGGTCAATTTTGAATCGAAATCCACTGGCATGGCTGAATTTCTTTCATTTTAATTTCAAAAATATCAATTTTTTCCTTTCTGAATTGGATTAAACTAAGACGCATTATCAAAAACGTTTGCAATAAAGTATAACAGCATATTGTAGATAGCTCCTTTCGCAAATTACAGAGTAAAATACATTAATAACTGAGATGTGCCTGCGTTAGAGATGCGCCCTAGAAAAGTTTATAGTAAGCATTTAGGAAATTATACTAGCAAATTATGCAAAATAAGTGTGAGAATAGATGAAAATTTGAATGAGATGAAAATTTACGAATAAAATAACTTCTAATATGCTTGCAAAGGTCAGATAAATTTGATAATGATGGCATAAGTGAATTTCCATTTTCCAGCAAAATTTACCAGTCAATTAAAGTTAATAGATAACAAAAAGCAGTTTAAAATGTTTTATGTGCATTGACATGTTTTTAAAATTATTCAAATTAACTGCAGTGAGTTAGTTTCACCTCGGATGCTCGAACTTCCCCCAGGCGGGCAGTAAGCCATGTTTTCTGGAGAAAGTGTCAGAATGTTACAAAATAAAGGAAAAATTCGCAACCCATGTTCATTTTGCGGATTCTATGTCAAGCCAAGCATAGTAAAAAGAATAAAAACTACTTTTCTTGTTATGACCTACATTTTTGACGAATAGCTTCGTTGCATTTGGAGTTATTTATTTGTTTTGGACAATATAAACATTTGGTATATATCTGGTATACTCGGCGAAAAAACGGTGGCAACCCTGTGGAGAGTGTCCAAGCCTCCCAGGACGTCAGGGTTGCCAACTGGTATTATTTCATACCAGATTTCACAAATCTGGTATTTTGAGACTGTGTCTGGTATTGATATTTTTGATCTGGTGTTGTTGCCTAAATCTGGTATATTTCTGGTATTTTCTGACTTATTGCAAATTAACTGCATTAATTTCCACCTCTGAATTGTTTGAACTTCTCCCAGCGTGAGCGTGGATTATATAGATTATCCTACCGAACGGCGTGTCTAGAGCTTTCTCGCCATTTTTGGGGACAACAAGATTACCGCTTGATAAAATAACTTCAATCTAAATGTTACCATTTAGCAGAAGTGCTTAGTGCAGCAAGTGCACGAGAGTGATGGTTCATGATTGCATAATGCTCACTCACCAGTTATTCTATGGCCTTCGAAGAATAAGGTTGTCGAGCCAAGCTCTGCAACTCGAGCTCATGCGTTTCTGTTTGGTGGTTCTGAAAGCAGATGGTGAGTTGCTAATTACCACACTCTAGTGAAATTTTATCCCTAGTTAAACACACTAATCCAATTGATTCATGGCCCCACTTTCTTTTGTAGATTTCATTCAAAAATGCAATGCATATGAAACTTAGACGTGAAAGACTTCCTCAAGCAATATTTAGAACTAATCTAGCAACGTAACAATAACTACAAACGATGCAGGGGCAAGTCGGAAGAAATTATTTGGAAAGCTTGAATTTAATTCCAAACGTAAGTCGCGAATATCAAATATCCTTTTTCGAGTTTTCTGTGTCTTAGGTTCCTTGTTTTAATTTATCCAACCTGCCATGGCTCCCAAAAAATCGTACGACGCATCACGCAAATACCAAACGGAATGGGAGACCCAGTCTCTAATTCCGCAAAATTCGCCAAGCCGGAACTTTGCACTGTAAAAACAATAAAAAATGACTTTTACAATTTCTAATTAATGTTTTTGACGAATAGCTTAATTAAATCTGGAGGTATTAATATGTTTTCGGAAAAATAAAATTTCTGGTATTTTGAGCTAGGCAATCTGGTATTCTCGACGAGAAAAAAAAGTTGGCAACACTAACGTGAACGTCAGTAGCTTGACGGCTTTGCTAACGTGTGGTGCTGATTTCTCAACGTTTCGCACATCAGACCAGCGATCTTTGCTCTGATCTCAACTTTATTTGTAAAATTATAAGGCGGATTACGTCACGATCTAACTAACCATGGTGAGTCAGCTAGTCTGGTTAGTTCTCAAGCCATGTATTTTCTTTCAATTAATTTGCATGATTTAAGTGATGTTAATTATCCCTTCATTGAATCCAGAATTGACACTGACAATAATTTAGACTTCCTTGTGCTTCTTTTATCAATTATCACATTTCTGATGTACGGTAGCTAAATTTAGGTAATGCCGGAATTATGACACAACCTTTTAAGACTGAAGTTCCTGTTGGAGATTTAGAACTGTTTTATTTTAGTAATTGGATGATACAAACTAGGTATGAAGTCGTGCTGCGTTGTAGGTTTGAAGATGAAGACAGCCGGTTTACCCTACCTACTGTATGTTTGAAGAGGAAGACAACCGAATTTATCATTCTAAACTCTAAAGTTGTGCTGTGCACTAATGTTCAGAACGGCATCTTCCCCCTGATTTGTTGGCAACTTCCATTTCTCGTCTTAGTCAGTTCAAACAGTTGAAATTTCATGCAAATCAGTTCTGAATTGAAGGTGTCAAGACTGAAGAGGAGAGGGGGGAGTTACTTGATCGAGACTTAATTTTTTGCGTTTTAATAAAAAATTAAGCTACGTAAAAATTTACGAAAATGATATGATCGTCGAATTACTATTGACAACTCGGGTTCCTAATTACATTCATATCCATATAGAATTGGAGTTGAGACTTGAGTTATGCTATAAAAAATGCGTTACCTGTTTGAGTTGGGAATGAGATGGGAATGTCGATTAGGTGTTGTCACGAGTCACGAGTCGCGACGCTCGGCAGTTCAAGCCAGACAGATTTTGGACACTCAACTCCTGCACTCTGTAGTCTGTAAGTGTAAGAGGAAGTAAATAAGCTCAGATCTTCGTCATATTTAGAATTTACGCACAATTTGATGAGTTCACGGTATTATTGCAGATTAACTACATCCAAAAAAAAGGGTGTTTTTTTTTTTAATTATATGTTTTTTGGGGTGTAGATTACGAATCTGAAATCCATTTTTGGCGGTCGGCATCGGAAAACCGATTTTTTGCAATAATACCGATCACACGTAGCGCACCACATCTGTCTCTTATACACATCTAGATGTGTATAAGAGACAGAGTATATACGGTATTATTGCAGATTAACTACATCCAAAAAAAAGGGTGTTTTTTTTTTTGAAANGGACGAGGGTTGACGGGTGAGAAAAGCAATGATTAAAAAAATTCGATGATGGGACGATAATAGAATCAATTGTGGCTTCATCCAGTTTTCTTCAGAAAAAATGGACTTCAGGTCGTCGCTATGGAAAAAATTGTTGCCGCATATGTCAGTATTTTTTTTTAAAATAAATATGAATGCTACGTGGAGATGATATTGTGTGAACGCTTCTATATGCACGCTAAAGGTTATGAATGATTTATTATAAACGATTGATACATACATCACCAATTCAGTGATAGGCAAATACAATATGGTAAAGTTTCTAACTGCAAAAATAATATAAAGCAACCAGCATAATCTCGCAATTCGTTTGCATCTATTCGAATGAATTACAGCGCTGGGCAATTTAGCCACGTAGAGAATCCATATTTGCAGTCGGTTAGCCTATTTGCTAGGCATTACTTTCTCACATGTAAGGTAAAGGAACGGTTGCAACATTCGGTGGTTCTGAGCATTTCATTTTCACAATGAATGGTACAATGGAGCACGTTTTTTTAACCTAATTAACGGAAATACGACTATTTTACTGGAAACTTTTTTTAAAGTCTTCACAAAAAAATTAGCGGTACAAAAATCACTTGCATCGCTTACATTATTCATACAGATGATACTTATTTGCAAAGCTAGCGGGAATACGGTTGGCCGATGCAGCAAATGCACAATTAATTAACTGAAAATTTTCTGCCTGAACGTCGACAGTTTGATGCCTGTTTTATTTGTCCCAAGCTAATAATTGTTAGATTAAAAAAGTTACAAATGAATGTTCAATTAATGAAATTTTTAGCGATTGAGACGTGCGTATAATAAAAAATAACTGTAAATCACGGATAAAATGTGTCTAAGAATTAGAGGCACACAATAGTAAGGGTCATTGTTCCCGCAGCTATAAACACTTTTTTTTTCAGTACTAAAATTATACTCATGTATTTGACAATCATCTTAAAAGCCTTTTAAGTTCAACTGGCGACTAAGTCAACAGTCTATGGAATCATACCTAAAAATAAAGTAAATATTGACATCAAAAGTTTAGCTCTTCAGCTCGCTGGTGAGGAGAGACTGGAGTTCAGCCCTGGACGATTGCCAACAACATCCGCTTGTAGTCGCCAGAAGTGTCACCCTGCGGGAAAGAGGATTGTCATATGACCGCGACTTTCGTCTTATTTTACCACGTTATATTAATAATTCCAACGAATTAATTAGGAATTCAGTGTCAACGACAAAAATCAGAGGTTGTAACTATTTATTACCCAACTCTATTGGAAGCTGCACGGGTTTTACTCACTCTGATGTCGCTCTCAAGAGTGCGGCCGAAGACGCGTTGATATTCGTGCTTGATGTTGCCGAGATCAATCTCAGCTCTCGTGACGATGATGCGGATGAGAGTGTCATCCTGTACAGACGAGGCAGACGAAGTCATTATCGAAAAATTCATGCTTATGCCATGCAGGAACTTTCATAGGTTTCATGAAATGCAATACTAATTCTTGAAATTAGTATAAGTTATTCATTGGCTCATAGGAAAAGGCATTCACGCTATTTCACAAGTAGAATAATCAACTGAACATCGTAACAAATTACATTAATTGGAAATCCTATAGCTAACTGCCACCAGGAATTCTATTGTCGTTAAGGCGCTCCTCTTTTGAATCCTTACGGAACTTCCTCGCTATTACACGTTCCTACAGCGTAAAATAACTATCATTTTAGCACCGCCTTCAATCTATCACTAGTAATAATCAAATCACCTATTTCACGATGACAACTTATCCACTAGAACAATCAAAATAGATCTCAGAAATAAACGCATATGTATTACAAGTTACCTTCCGTAAAAAATATCTCTGCACATTATAAAGGAATGCTCCAATATAAATACTTACCTATGAATACTTCAATATAAATTAATTACAGCAAAAAAAAAAATACATTGAATTGAGCTACTCACTTTAGTTCCTAGACCCCTCATGGCGTCGTGCAGACACTTGGCAAAGAACTGGTGTCTGTTCTCAATGCACATGACCACGGCCAGCAGACCGGTCTTGATGTCTCCTGAGAACTCGCTCCTGATGGCGTCATGAAGACTCTTGCCCTGGAAAGTAAAGGCATTTATTTTAACACTCGATACAGTTAAAAGTATAGGCGCCTATTTAGACTCAAGACGCTATGGAGTTGACAGTGTGGGCTTTTATTTAGACCAGTTAAGACCGTAGATAATTAAAAGACAGTTAAAAGTATCGGCGCTTATCTAAACAACAGAAAAACTGAATGACAGTTTAAATTTATAATTTCAGTAGGGCCAATATGAAAGATATATGGCAAATAATTATATTGAAGCTTATGTTTGAGCGACAGTTGTTGAAAATTTCAATTCAAGAAGATAATAATTATAATACATGAGACAGGCTTTTACTTAACAATGTTTATGCTACATATATGACATTTTTTATGAATACTCAGTCAGTTACGTACCAAAAATATTCTGACGCTGGAATTGGTTCAGCAAAATCTAAGTTTTTTCCTACCTTAATTTTCTTGTACTCCTCGAGCACTGCGCGTAGCACAGGGAAGGAGTAGGAGGACAGAATCCTGTTGAACTCAACTTCGTCCGTGCCGAGCCTGCCCTCGCCTTTTGTACAATGTCGATCAGTAATTAGATCAAAACTAAATCAAATTGCTTCATTTCTATCATCAAATATGATATCTAATATTTCTAAAGCATAGCATAGCATTCTAAGACAATATATTGAACTGCCAAGATCCAACGAAAATCTATGGGTCATCAGAGCGAGAGCGATTCATCTATGACTAATTTCACAAGATAAAACCATTAAAGGTGAAACGATCTTGCTACAAACTGATTTAACATAATATAAAATAATATTATAAAGCATAATACAATAATAATATTGATATTCACTATAAAGAATTAGTCGCGCTAATCAAGCGAACATTACCTGCTCGATAGAGCTGCTGCGCGAGCTGCGGAGCCAGGCTCAGGTTGTGGTTCATCTCATCGCGGGCGCCCGCAGTCATAGACACGAGTAGACGACGGAAGTGCCCAGAAGTGTCCGCCTCCAAGTCTTTTTGTAATGGACGCCCGTATTTTCGGTGATACATCGCATTGATTTCGCTGTAATGAAGATTCAAAATTAACAATAAATCGATGCTTGTTCCTTGTTAGCTAGAGCATCCCACTTCTCTCCCATATCCGGAATTAGACACAGATCTCGAGTGCGGATATTAGTGTAGTTAGGTAGAAGTTCTTCATTTATACAATTTGATTGAAGACCAGAGTGTAGTTTTCATCGACAATTTTCTTGTTGCTTTTCTCAATAAGCCGAACGAAAAACAATAAGAAAACTGTTAATAAAAATTATGCTCTGGTCTTCAATCAAACCTGTATAAAGAGATCTCGAGTTGCACCACACCCCAGTGTTATAGCTAAATTTTTCAGTACTATCGATTAGCTTAAGCTTTAACTGACATAAAATTTTTGTTACTAATGCACGAGATTAGGTTTCACGAGTGCACTGCAATACACGAGTATTTAAAGTTTTAAAATAAGTTTTTTTTTTCATTAATTTCCAAGGTTGTTGCTGTGGTGTGGTGCCACAAGGAGAAAATGAGGTAAAAGCAAGAAGTGGCAAACATTTGCCACAGAGTATAAGGATAAAAAATAAGCAGGAAGAGACTAAATAGGCGCCATGAGTTTGATTAGGATTGTCATTGGGGTTTGGTTGTTAAAACTCGTCCTTTAAAAATGTAAGAATCGACTTGAGTTAAAAAACAACTAATATGATGTGAGCAAGCTATTCGTTACGCTGGACAGTAATTACGCTCTGAACTTTTCGCTCCGTGTTTGACGGTGTTATTTGCAACCAAATGATGTTATGGGCTAGTTACTGACGGCAGTCTGTATCCAAGGTTGATTGATGGCCTTACAGAAAGACGCTGGGCGTTGTATTCAGGGCTGATTAATTGTTGTTCAAAATTGGTGGTGCATGGCTGCGCTCCCAGCGTTTTCACACTCACCGATACGTACGCAGCGTTAATTTGTTAGCTAAATCTCTTCCGCACCGTTCCGGGTGAGAAAATAACTTAGAAAACGCATGAATAAACGGAAATTAAACATAATAAAGAGAACCGAAAATTGTAACCTTTTAACCTCGTTTTTAGCGCATTTTCTCATTTATGGAAAAAAGGCGCTATTGTGCTCGCCATGTCCGTCTGTCCGTCCGTCCGTCTGCGTTCTGTCCATCCGTGACTTCATGTATTCGTCGAAGAGAAAATGAGCTCTCTGTCACTCAATGCAGTGAATGCCGAGTTATATTTTTTATTAAAAATGTTACGGAAAAATTCACAAAACTGCGGGAGTAGGAAGAAAAATGTAAAAATTCAAAATATATTCGTTGAGGTAAACGAGCGGACGAGATATATCAGAATTCATTCAATGGCCAAATCCAATTTGCTTCAGCATGCAAGTGACACTAATTTTCAATATCATTTACGTCAAGCTCAGGGCATTCGCACGGCACGATAAACTTGAGTGTCAAATGCATGGCATAAAACAGATTGTTACCTCCATTATACGTACAATTAAGTTAGTTTACAATATAATACTAAACAGTCCACTATTTCTCTACATATTATTTTGTGCATACTGACCACCGCATAATGGCCCCCAGCGCTGCCTGACTGCTGATAAGAGGAAGTCGAGCCTGAAACAATATAAAAGATTATTAATTCAATTATTACACAGTTTCTTTTATGAATTTGATTCTTACAGTTACTTCTATGAATTATTTTATTATCGATTTGACAATAATGTTGCCGTGAATACTAATAATTTTTACCATCATATGCCAGTTGGAATTTTCGGCAGAATACGATATATACGATTAAACTTGATATAAAAATAATTACTTCTAAGGTTGCTTGCGAGTCTGAAACTATAAATATTTTATGCCTTTTAAAAAATGTCTTTTAATGATATTATAAAGTTTATTAACTTGCATTTTTAGTTTCGATTAAAGGACTAGAATTGAAATTTAACTTATACGAATGATTGATTTTTCATGATAAAAAAACTCACTCAGGGAGGGATAGCATCCAGTGGTAGCTGGAAATCCAGCAGCCGTAGAGGCTGTCATGGCATATGCCGGAGCTGACGGATATCCTGATGTGGCTGGATATGCAGGGGCACTGGCTGCTGCTGGAGGATATCCAGAAGTTGTGGGTGGATATCCAGGAGCTTGAGGATAACTAGGAGCAGGTGGATAACTAGGAGCCGGTGGATAGCTAGGAGCCGGAGGATAGCTGGGAGTAGGAGGATAACTAGGAGCAGGTGGATAACTAGGAGCCGGAGGATATCCAGGAGTAGGCGGATATCCAGGAGCAGCAGAGGGATATGAAGGTGGTGGTGGATATGCAGACGAGTTTGGCATGGGAGGATAAGCAGGATAGCCCGAATTTTGTGGATACCCGGATGCGGGCGGGTATTCAGGCGTGGGAGGATAAGGAGGGACTCCTCCAGGTGGCTGTGGATATCCAAGATTCGTTGGATAAACTGGCTGAGATGAGCCCGGGTACAGGGTTGTGATCGGGTTATATGACCCTGAGGGCTGGGCAAAACGGTGAAAACCCCTTAATTCAATTAATAACTTTAGCTCAGCAATCAATAGAATGATTCATCATTAAGTTAAAGCCTAATAATAACAATAGCATTAATAATAGATGTGTGATGAACGGAGATATCCTGAATGGGTTTCTATATAATGAATGGCTAAAGTAACAAAAATATGATCGTGATAGACACATGTCAGAGGTTTATTTTGATACTTTTTGCAGTAGTATTTCTAAATTTATTAATTTCATTTCTTGAAATACAATGAAAATTGTACTCTAAATAGGTACCAATCAATAGCATAGAATAATATTTTTAATTAGGTTTCAAATAATCTGGTATTTTTCGATGATAATCCGTAAATTTACACTCTAAATTTATACCATGTCTTCAATATTTTCGAAGCTTGAATTACGAGAACAATTTCAATGTCCATCATCAAGCATGGGTCACCAGATTTGAATTAGCAAACTACCGGATTTGTAAGGAAGTTGAAACTATTCTCGTAATTCAAGCTTTGATTTTAAATCTGTAACCATAATGCCCTATGTTTGTACTAACTTCATTTCAAAATTATTCAAGTGTTGCAAAACTCTTCCTCTACTTGATAATGAATGTAGTTGCATTCGAAAAGTCGTAAAATATAAGAAAATGTCCCTTGGAAACCTTTTTTTCAATTTTCAGGTCCTATCAAAAGCCTAATTCGCCGAATAGATAAAAACAATAATAAAATTGTCAATAAAAAATAATCTCTGGTCTTTAATGAAAGCTGCATTGTTCATTACCTATATCCGCACATACATCATCATCCGACAAGTAAATGAATGGCGTTCATGAATGGTATTCAAGGCTTACCTGTGTGAAGCCGAAACTCATTGTGTCGATGTCAAATTTTCACAACTTCAACTAAACGAAATTGACTGTAAAAGAAAAGAATTACACTGTACAAATTATAAGTGATGAACATAGCAATCACGATGCTGCGAACACTTCCATGAACAACTTCGATGCCAGTCCAGCTACCAGTTGTCTTTAATGCAGTTAGGGAAGGGCAAAGTATAGATGGATTTCTTAAAATTTTTTACGTTATTATTTTCAAGGATGGTGTATACATTTCATTGACATACAATAAGTAACAGCATTGCTGGAAGGCATTATGGAGATGCGGTAAATGCTTGCGATGGCGTTGTTTCAAAATTTCATCACAATTCATATTAAACAAAACCATTTATTTTCAAGACGCAACAAAAAAAAACATTTAAACTAATTCGTATAAACTAATTAACACAATAGGCATATCCTTCAAGAGTTCGGGATATCCTTCAAGAGTTCGGGATANCACTTGACGCTGCAGCTAGCTACAAGCGATCACTTGACACTGCAGCTGGCTACAGAGCGATCACTTGACACTGCAGCTGGCAACGCAGCCAGAGGTCTAATGAAGTTGTCGTACAAGAGGCATGAGA